AAGGCGAACGGATTTTTTTCCCAAATCGGCAAATAAAGACTCTCTGTCTGTGTACAACATACCATTTTGAAAGCCACTGATCAGCTTATTTAAGAACTGACATCAGCAACTATAAAGGAGGTAGTCATTTGAGAGAAACTGCTTTAAACTGCGAAAATGAAAACCTTCCAGCACGTATCAACTCTCAAATATCATAGGTATACCCCTGAACTCGGGGTATACCTATAATATTTGGTGGTCAACCACGTCTTAGATAGGAGGGGTCAAAGTTTTATGCCATCAATGAGCAAATCTTTACAAGACAATTTTTGCGGCAAAAATCCATAAAATCTCTCAAATATTCACTAAGTTATGACGTTGTGCCAAATGGCACTCTTAGGGACTAAAGGGTTAACAGCCTTTGCAGCCACCATCAACCTCTGAAACCATGGATCGCAGAAGGGACCTACCATCCTCGGGTACCATCCATGGTGAAACTATACTGAATCTTTTAAAATTTTTAAAGGGTATTTTAAGTTTCTGCAGATGTTACATCTGGTAATTATTTCTCCCAAAAGAAGAGGGGTATAATCGAAGTCTTGGTATATTAATTCCCCTTTTACTTGATTTAATCCATACATATCCAAACCGTCCTTCGTATGTATGTTGATACTGGGTATTCCTTTCTCTCATTACCAGTCTGCAATATATTATTACAAAGCTGGGGTTGATAACTTTTCTACAACCACTAAGTTGTTGTGAACTGCGAACAGCAGAATCTTCTCATATACACTAGATTAGCACTGGCAAAAGAAACAAGACAGCAAAGAACAACATGAAACGTATTTCACAGTTTTAATAATTATACAATGCATCTGAAAGTTAACGGTAACAGTAAAAGGATTCTAAAACCTGTGACCACACACAGCCTTTTTCACGGGTAGACTGGTAGATTTTTTAAAATCAAGACTGTTAGAAAAGCAAGATATACTTCTTCAATGAAGTTACTAAGCCAGTAAATATGGTGACTGATTCTAATTTACCAAGCTCTTATCTGCCAGATTCAGTATTGAGATATTTACAATCATGGAATCTCAGTTATCTGGATGACTTCAGCTTACCATCCACAGAAGGGTAACAATTTATAAGGGAAATGCACCCCTACAAAACAACTATCAAGCGTGTATTTTCTACACAGCAAGTTACGTTAAAAATTCAATTAATAAACCAGATAAACTACCTTACAATGGATTAATATCCAGCTTTAACGCAAGCTGTTTCGTTTCATTTGAAGACAACACCACTATAAAGTAAGTTACACCAAAAGAATCTTATCACATGTTATGATTAAGTATACCGGTTTTAATGAATATAGCATCACGGACAGGGAAATAACTACCAGGTACAAAGAGTAAGGTTACCATGCCCTCAAGTTGACACAAACACATTTTTTTCTCCTACTATAGCTAATAATATTCTGTAATATAATCTCCAGAGGTGAAATTCTGATTGGTCGAGATATTTACTGTCTGCCATTTCAAGGCTTGGTTACTGAGCATAGCTGCACTTGTCACCAAAGTTTGTAAACATAGTGGTCAGTTAGGAATGAAATTGTATTTACTTTGAAGAGACAAAGACATCGTTCAAAGATTGAGTGACTGAAATTTTTTTCTGTTTAGACCAGAGCTACTCTTAACAGATGGTAAAAAAAACTGTCCAATAAATCACCATCAATCAATGTTTTAAAATCATTACTTTCTAGTTTTATATATTCACCACTCAACATCATAGTTATTCACACTACAACAATTATTTGCCTGAGGCTCAGTGACAGCTGGTAAATACATTTTTGAAATAGCTAATTTACGTCTGTCTCTTCAAGTATTCGTCAATGTTCAGTCTGCCTTTGGCAAATAATGTAACATAATTTTAGCAATTACACTGCATTTCATTATTTATTTTATGTACAAAAACGTTATCAAAGGTAAGCCAGTTCATGGACACGGGGAGATTCCCACAGTTCTCTACACCTTCCAAAGTTCAATGCAGTCTATAAACTTATATCTCATAATTGATAAACTAGTTTTGTGGTGCTTTGTTCTGATAAATTTGCTAACAATTCCCATATTTTAGCTTTCATTTTACAATGGTGGTACCTGGTATGACCAATTTTAAGTACTCTGTTCAAAGTGATCAACTTGTATTGTTGCCTTTTGAAACCCCAAAATAAAAGACATCACATCTATGGAAAGGATAACCAAAAAGAAATATTAATTTGAGGGTTAAATCCTCCAAACTGTACTATGAACAATGAAAGGAGGCAAGTAAGTTTTCAGTAGATTTCTTAACGCTCTTTAAAGATCAGCCGAATGAAAAACTAACCCTAAGAATAATAAATATGGTGTACTTGCAGATATGTATCATTTCTCTTGTCTAAAAAAGCCTTAAAATCTCAAAATTTTTTGACCACTCGAGCATCTGCAGACAACATGCCTAGATAGATACTACCAGCATGTCAGTGGTAAAGCTTCTCTTTTATGAGCCTTTGTGCTTACAAGAAAGATGTGGCCAGTACATCAGTTCTTTCTAAGGGAAAGATCATTCTGTTTCTGCAAAGTACTAAGAAAAGTTCTTGACTATACTGTCATAGAGTTGGAAGTGCTGGCAGTTGATGCAATAAGTGGAGTTGTTTCATCGGCTTCATTAGTCAACTCTCCTGTTGCCTCCACGTCAGTTCTTCGAGGCCTGTTTCTTGTTCTGTTGTCATGTGTTACGGGTCGTTTGCACACTGGGCATGTGCGCTTCCCCTCTGTGAGCCACGGATCTACACATTTGCAATGATACGCTTCAAACAATAACAAAGAAAAAAGTTATTTGTAAGCTGGGTATCACCTGGGTGTAAGGTAATGGTAGCCCTTTGACGTTTTGTCTTGCATATGCATGCACCTAATCTACTTAGTGCATATATCTTTTTTATAGCCCTTTTTCAGTATCAGTATTGTTAGAAGTCACAGGGTTGGATTGCATCAGGAAATACCTACCATGCTCACAAGGAAGTATTCGAAGTCGTTCACCATCTTTGTATTCTTCCAAACAAATGGCACACACGTCATAGTAATCATCACCTGATGATATGAATGCAAAAAGACAATCACTAGAGATTCCAATCAGTTCAAGTTACTTCATCTGGTTATTCAGTCATTCATTCACTTCATTCTCTGGAAGACCTTAGTTCTCAAAGAGTGGAACCAATATTCTTACTTACTTATTTTTACATGAAGTAACTCAACACTTTAAAATCAAATAATAATAAATAATATTATTGGATGAGGGTTTTGTGATATCTAGAATAATCAAGGTTGAGGTAGGTTATCAGCCACACCACCCTCTGAGTGCTGGCTGCAAGAGCGCTGGTTGTCACGAAATGTGTAACTTGGTTCCACTCATTGATATCAAAGCATTTCCTCATTCTCTCCTATTATGACATTTAGATTCCTACCGTAATAACATTAACTTACCTTTTTTAAACTTTTTAGTCGGAATTTTTTTCAGGTTTGTTGGTGAAAGCCTGTTACGTCGCTGCTCTAGGTAATGCCTGTAGTAGCGGCTGATCTGCATTTTAAAGATAAGTAATGACTTTAATATTAAATTCATTTTAACCCAAATATTTTTTTAAGAAAATTCATTTTAACCAACATACAAGGAGTTGGCAGAGCTAGGTTGAGGCCAATGCAGTGTCAAGTTCTGCTATAATGGTGTATCATTTTTTTGCTCATTCTTAAGTCATGTAAAAACTGTGCTTGATTAGTCTAGCCCCTTCCAAAACCACAAGGGATACTGCAAGGTAGGAAAAATGTTGCTCAAGTCTAGTCTTGTGTGGGCAATACTTCACAGGTGCCAGGTTTTTGTGCTACCTCAATGGCAATATCAGTGTCAAGCACATGGCAGAGTGAAAACTGAGCCAGAACTACAAAAAAATCATCTCACAACAAAAAATGTAAACACCATCACAGTGATATAATTTAATACATGAAGAATACGCCTAGTAAGTTTTACAACTTACCATAAACATAGCCATCAGAATAAAACAGATTCCTACAATGATTGCAAAGGGAATCATATAGAATTCATAATCCCATATCTGAGGAAACTCTTGTGGAGTTAGAAGGATCCTTTTGCTCCTGTAAGAAGTAAAAACAAATTAATGCGTTAAGAAGGCTGTTGTGCGTCATTTCTTCTGTTCAACTGGGGTGTTTTAAACCGTTTGCAAGACACAACCATTGTGGACTGTTCAAGAATGGAATGTTGAAAGTGTTTACCAGTCAACACTGGCTTCCTGGTTACTGTTTCCCCTGATGGAAAACTGGAAGTGGCACAGATGAACAAACAGTTAACTGCAGAATTTCCAAACAGTTCAAGCCAAACAGGATAAGAGGACTACCTCAAAATGTAATCAGCAATTTCCTTACAAAATTCCTCGAAATAAACCGTTCTACTTGCTTTCCAACAGTTAGTTATGGGATTTTTGGTTGAATGGTAAACACTCCTGGTGTCTGAAGACATGGTTGATTGTCCCAGTTATACACACATAACTGCAATGATCTTGAAACCAGTGTTTCAGCCAGAAAATTTTACTTGAGGGCCAAAGTGGCACCTGAAGACTTTTTTTAGGAGGCAATTTTTTTTAGGAAATGGGCCAATAAATTGAAAGCTACAGAAAGAAAAAACGCATCAGGGTACCAAGGAAAATAAAGCAGTTTATTAGGATCTATGATTAAATTTAATAAGTGCTTTTTGGAGTGTTTCAACTCAATGAAGTTTCTTTTGAATCAGATACTAGTATGAAGGATCTGTGCATTACAAGAGAACAATCCTCAGGCATACATAATGTAGTCAATGATCAAGGGTTTGCAATGCATTATAGGGTGATTTCAAACACAGCCAGCCATTTGGAAATTTTCCGATGCGAGAGTATCAATACAGCAAAGCAAAAGGACGCATTGATTTCTTTTCTTATGTTGAATGTTTTAGAAGCAAAGATCTTTCAATATGATTTTCTAGAAGGACATAATGTGTGACAAATTAGCCGTTACTGATCGTCAACACAGAGAAATGTAGTCG